ATTAACGCCGAAGGAGAGGACTACGACTCCCAGGGTGCATTTCAGCGAGAAAAATCTCATCAAAGAGCTTGTCACACGTGCCGCTGTAACAGTTGGTGAAAGCTCAAAACATTCAAAATTTTACAATCTGCAGCTTCAGTTGCGTCACTTTTGGTCTCTGGGTCGGTTTTGGATTTGAATTAAGTAACCATGACTACGTGCTTTGTTCTCGACTACTACAATTTGAAAAAAAAAAAAAACATTAAAAAAAATCTGCTGCTTCTCTGATCCACGTCTCTCACACACACACACACACACACACACACACACACACACGGCTTCTTCTCCACAAGGATGATGGGTATAGAAGTATTTACAGCTGTCTGCCAAACTGATGTCTTTAAGAGTTCAACTAAAAAGTTAGAACCACGCAAACTGGTGGGCAGAACATAAACATGGATTACGGTCATATGATACAGACTGAGCAGCTAACAGAGGTCAGCAGGGTGTCGGCTCACCTTTGACCCCTTGTAAGAAGACCACTCACTCACTGCCTGGTCTTTTTGCTGGCGAACAAACATGGGGATTTAACAGGGTTACATGAAAGTAAAATAGATTTCATGGAGCAGAGGATTGCGGATTTATATATTTCTTAGAAAATAATCTTTATTTTAAGGATATTTGATAACTACAGTCTTTCTGACAGGCGACATGATCTGCTGGACTGAATTCTTAGCAAAAGAAATGCTTTAGAAATTTAATCTGTCTCGTATCACAGTGTTGTACACAGATTTACAATTAAGGCCCCAGCACGCTGCTGGAGGCTTGTTTACTTCATCTATATGTGGCAGCAGTAGACGTGGGCGTCAGTCTTTGACAATCTCTTCACGTCTTCTCGTTTGCTTTCCTGCCACAACACGCTGAAGCTCTTGTAATGAATGAGAAGAGTCGAGAGCCGCATCATCCCGGAGAGGAAAACCCCAGACTCCAAACGCAAATATTTGGCAGCTTACATGTGAAGTTCCTGTTTGTCGGCACAGCGAGCGCAGCGTGAGACAGCATGCGTTGTAACCGCAGTCGTGTTGCAGCCTCGGCTGTAGCGAGGAGCCGCTTGGCTTATCAGACGCTGGAGAACGACTGAGGCAGAAGTTGTGGGAGAAGCCTGAGAAAAACTTCCTGCTAATCAGTCTCCAACCACCTGATTAATCACTCTGGAGGTGTCCTCACTGCATTACCGCCTGCGTGTGTGTGTGTGTGTGTGTGTGTGTGTGTAGGCTCCTATCTTCAACGCCCCGCCGGAAACGAACACTGTCTAATTATATTACCGGCTCTGTGTTCGTGCATGTGCGCGCAAGAGTTGTGGATGTGTGTCTGTCAACTGATAGAAGGAACCTCCCGCAATCAATACATGGTGGATTACTCCTAAATCTGCAGATAACCTAGAAAGACCTGCACGCTTCTCAAACACACACACAGAAACAGAGCTCTTTTATCAAATATTTATCAGCCGAACAGTGGGCTAAGAAGGCGTAGTCGTATTCTTGGGTTGATAGCATCAGAATTGAGAGGATTTAGGAGCAATTACCAAATCTGCACAATGACCAGACTCTGTTAAAAGACACAGTCCTCCTGGATTTATCATTCGTTTCAGAATCTGAAATTCCTCACTGCCTCGTGGTGGCCTGCACCACTGGATGCCGCACAGCGCAGAGCTTGTAACCACACCACATGTCACACTGCCTGAAGGGATGCAGGACAAACAGCTGGATGTTCAATCTACTGTCCCTTCACACCAAGACTTGGTTAATTTACCGTGGTAAGGCTGCGTTTTTTTTATGCATTCAGCTGTAGCGCACCGTCCATCCCGGTATTCGCACTTACTGAACAATCAAGGGGCCGTTTTCACGAAACATCCTGAGGCTAAAAGTAAGGCCTAACTGGATGACATGGGAGAGGAACTCCTAAAAGATGAGGGTCAGATCAGTCATGACTTTAAGACTCTGGGAGTGATTCACAAAGCAGGTCCTCGTTCTGAGAGAAGGGTTTTTGGTCCAGAGGACTCATGAATCACGGAGCTGCTCACAGCTGCTGCAGGGAATGAACCCTGTTATATCAGCACTTTGTTCAGAAAAAAAAAATCCAATGACTTTAAAAGCACATTTTGATGACGGGTGTCTTAATTAGGTTCCAATCAGCTCGCTGACAAATTGAAGCAATCCAGTAACAGCAGAGATAATGATTTGAACGGCTCTCCGCGACTATGACTGTGGAAAAACACACACAGGGTGATGGAGCCATCTGCCAGAATTATACATTAAATCAAGAATTAACTCTTCAGTTTTGTTTGGCAGTTCATTAAGTGCATATTAAATATTCACCAAATGCAATAAATACATAAACAAAGCCGTTTTTCTGCAGCTTTGTGAAACGCCCGAGAAAGCCTGGAGCTGAAACTGCTGCTGGTCATTAGCCGACCATCCGTACTTATCTGCAAGTGCTGATGACTATACTCCATTAACTTGCCTTGTTTTTCTGATGAAATATTACAGACATTTTTAAATTCAATTTTACTTGGTGTGCACAAAAGTGGATCGACAATATGGATTGAATGAATGAATTTTTGTTATCAAACTGACGCCACAAAGTGATTCAGGTCTGGGCCTGATCCTGCAAACACTTTTTTTGGTTATATTCACATTAAACTCCAAGCAGCTACAGTATTTTTGTGTCTTTGTGTGGCTTCACAATCACTTCTTACATGAGAGTCCGGCCACTGGTTTTATCTGCTCATTACCATTAAAAATGAGAACGCAGTTGGGGATTAAGGCTCCAAGATTTTTCCTGAATGTGCATTCAAAGAGAACCTGTTGTAAAGATAAAGAGGCTGAACACTGCTCGGGGTAACACTGAGAAGGACCGCTGTGCAATTCTTTTATAATCAAATCACTGTTCAAAAACCACCACAGATCAGTGATGTGCTGTGCTTTTGTGGAAATATCGGGGCGACTGTTTGTTGTTAGCACAGTTAAGAGATTTCTGGGCGTCCTCTGCGCTCCCTGGCAGCGCCGTGTCCTTTAATAATCCTCTAAAAAAAAAACTCCAGCACATAAATGTCAGGACACATCCCGACTGGTGGGTTGTGAAGAGTCATCAGATTGTTCTAAATGTCACTGAGATTATTCGGAGAGCAATCAACATCACTGTATACTCTAATTAATTCCTTTTTAGCTTCTGTGAGTCACCAGTTTATATCAGATCTGTTTCATGTTTCGCAGGTAGGCAGACGGATTCTTTTACTTTCGCACTGAGAAACGGAGGAAAAGTGGCGGGGCGTGCGTCCGAGTCCTGGAAGCGTTAAGACTGGCACAATCATTTGAGGTCAGAATTAAAACTCATGTTAATAGAGCGGTTTTCATAATCTGACACTGATCGCACCCTACAAAAATAGATGCTGAGAAAACTATGCCAAATGCGCTATCAGCACTTCCTGTTCGCACTGTAGCCGTAATTGTACAGACAATTATCACTGGATTATCTTGATGGTGAAGAAAAAATCTTACAAACATGATGATTCTCGGGCAAGTTTGACGTCCTCTGGAACTTGTCATTCGCATCAAATCAGAAAATTATTGTTTCAGGTCTGTGTGCTCAGAGTTAAAAAGGAGTTTGAGTTTTGATGGCAACTGAAGCGATCAGGCATTAAAGGTTTTAAAGCAGCTTAGCAGCCGTAGCTGCAACAGCTGCTGCTGACTGTGTTGAAAAGTGAGCTAAGAACAGACGCCACCTCTAGTACCATATGTTTAACTTCCAACTCGAGATGTTCCGATCCCATTTTTTCCTGACTATCGATCTCATACCAACGTCTTTATCAGCCAATGCTGACTATCGACCTCATACCAACGCGTTATATAAATATATATTTGAGCAGCTGAATGCTACTGACCCTGTAGGCATGTGATGTGATTGCTGTCATTGTTTTGTGGCATGGCTCAGGTTAAACCTTTTGTAAAACATGAACACATGAATGCCATTGATTCTCTCTCTCTATCTCTCTTTTTATTTTTACTTTTACAGTGATCAACTGCTTATACAGATCAAAGAGCTTGGGACAGAACCATTCTCACACTAATGCTATATGCTATAATAATGCTATAAATAATTTGCTTGTAGTAATCAAGTACTCCGCCTACACTGTTCATTTTGGGTCTTTTCATACTGGACAACATATTGAAAAATAATTTAAATCTGCTGTTGTAGGCTTCTTCTGCAAAATGTTGTCTTGTCTCAGTGTGTGTGTGTGTGTGTGTGTGTGTGTGTGTGTGTGTGTGTGTGTCACTCACTGACACGAGTCACAGTGACTGGCTGAGTAGCATCACGTGACCAGTGCCATAAAGGCAAGAATAGCTGTGCCAGTTAAAACAGAAACATTTAGTCAAAAATTGTAATGATTCTCTATCATTTATAGATCTGGGTCCGGATGCACTTATGGACCTTGACTGTACTCCGCCCATTAGTGACCACAGCCAAAGGCTAACGTTACGCCATTCACCAGAAATCAATTCTCTTTTTTTTCCGCTCTAAACCCGTAGCTGCGCAGTGCAACTCCCCCGTGCAGGCTACTGTTTTAGGGCAATGAAGAAGAATTGATTTCTGGGCATAAAACTATAAAGTTTATCAATACATTATGTGGCATCGGATCGTGCACAGACTCACGTACTCGCTGATTCCTGATCCAGTTTTTATGAGGCAGATACTTGCAACCATGTTTTCAGGGTTTGAATCAGGTCAAGGTCTGGATTGGTTACACATGTTGTCAGCATGTCTAAAAAAATTCATGGTCTCTGTGCGGATGTAATTAATTGTATTACATTATTTTGGAAGAAGGGGTTTACGGTGAAATGTCACCAGGACATAAACCTGTGCCGGTTAACACGATGCAAAACACACTCATCCACCGATCGATCGTCACCACATAAACCATCTGCTGCTTATCTTCGGACCGTGATGCACCACTCTCTTACCTGCTTCTCTGGAGAGCTGCATGAAGGCGTCCACCCCCTTCTCCCCGTAGCTGCCCTCCGAGGCCACGGTGGAGACGTAGTTCCAGCCCATGGCCTTGACGATGTCCACCATCGCCTGAGCCTGGAAACTGTCCGGAGGGACGACCCGAGAGAAGAAGTCGTACCGCCGGTCGTCGCTCAGCTCCGGAGCGGTGGACGCGTAGCTGATCTGAGGGATCTGGAGAGAGGGAGAGGAAGAGGGGGAAGGAGAAGAAACGAGGAGTTAGATCCTGTTGAGGATTTGGAAACGAATGTGTTGCTACGGAGAAGTTTATATGGACTAGTGTAAAAGTCGTAAAGGGAGAAGTTAAATGACCTGATGATGTTTTTTCATTTGATTTTCCTTCACACCATGTACTGGAGCTCTGCAAGTTGGCATTATTGTTGCATAAAATCATTGTGACACGCAACAGAGATTTTATTAAGACACAAACCCTTTATTTTAATTATGTCGATATGATTAAAACCTGTGGAGACAAGAACTTTAATTCAGTGCAGCTGATCAACAGACAGGTCTTTAAAATATGGAGCTGCAGTCGAAATGATTGAATTGGAGATTGAATTTGGCTAAAATAAACAGTGACTTCCTCTCAGAGCCCCTGCTAATCTATGTGAGGTAACTTCAGCCCTGACTTCAGAAGTTAAGTGTAAATGTGGGAGGATTCTCTGTTTGCTGGAGAAAAAGGAGTTTGACACAGTAATAAGTAAAAAGGCGTTTGTGGTAATTACACAAAATCTGTGTGAGGTCAGGGATTATTTGGTCTCTGTCCATCAAGGTTTCCGCTAATGGCCGGTAAAAATGAAAATTCCATCCGTCCCGCAAGGAAAAATCTCGGAGAAAAGTTGCAAATCCCCCACACTAGATATTTCTTCCAATTACCCTCTGATCTGCCGGGAGAAGGGATGCACTCACACACTCACATTATGTATGGGTTAAAAGTTTGATGCATGCTGATGTTATGCAGCTCTGTCTGCAGAGAAGGTTAAACGCTCAACCCAGGGTTTATCATGCGGGGTTCATTATTTTTGGTTTTATGTTTCATGAAAAAAAAAAAAAGAAAATAAGTTACATAAAGAAACTGGATTTTCCACTAAAAAATGGAAAATTCCACTAAAAGCACAAACATTTTTTTGGACCTAAACACATAATCAGCAGCTTCACACACACACACACACACACACGGCGGTGAGATGTCCTATAAGCTGCTGGTCTGGCCACTGGGAGCCATTCAGGGCTCAGTGTCTTGCCCAAGGTCACTTCAACATGTGTCCAGGTGGAGCAGGGGATTGAACCACCAACCCTGTGATGAGTGATCAACCCTGCTCCGCCTCCTGAGACACAGCTGCTCACATTCTAGCATCTTATCTTAACTCTTAATAACACATTCTTTTTACCAAGTTAGCTGCAAATAAAATAAAATCTTCATATCATTTATTATTGTTTCATAAACTATTGGACAGAGACACTTGTAGTAGTGATGAAAGTTCGCAGGAGTGCAGGGTGAGGTTGGTGCAGGCGGCAGAGCTGGATTTGATGTATTCGATGGGCGGTCAGCGACAGATCATGACAAGCTAGCTAACCTGCAGTAGGCGTGGGATTTTATTCAAAATGCAAAAATGTCAAATCAAAATTCTGAAGAAGAGAGGCTGCACGTCGAGGAAGAGGAGTAACAGACAGCATCGGTCAGAAAAGAGCCATCTAAGGAAAAGTCGGACAGCGACGCCGGGACGCTCCTCCACCCTCCAGCTCCTCTAACCCAAAAACCGACCGCTCCGGCCACCACCTTCTGGCTCCTCTAACTCACTATCAACCACTCCAATTAATGCTGCAGGCATGACACGTAGATGCCTCTCTCACTCGAACAAACCTCCATTTCAGCCTAAATTACTCTCTTTCCTGCTCTGGTAAAAAAAAAAAAGGCAGCAGGGAAGTTTGTAGTCATTGTGAAAATAGAGCGGGCCACACTTGTGAGGTTACTGTTGCTATTAGAGAAGCTGACGTGACGTAGATGCATGTTCGGTGCTGCAGAGCTTCAGCGAGAAGACCATGACTCCAGCTTCGACACTGCTTTCATGCAACAGTTGTGCTATATTGTGTTATTGGCGAAAATCACTGCAGCGTTAAATGAAGACGTAATGTTGCAGCTCTTCTCCACCACCTGGCAGAGTGAAAACTGTGATGGTTGTTGATGTACAGATTATTTTTTTGCCGTGGTTCTTGCACATCTTATATATCCCACAGACGCACCTCAATTAATATTTCTGAGCTACGCTAACTGCTGACAGGCGGAAAGAAAAAGTCTGGGAATCAGCTTCGCTGCTGCTGCTGCTCGTGAAGCTCTGTCCTGCGACGTTCGGTAATAATTGAAAGCGACTCCAATGAGTCTGTCAACATTTTTTAATCAGAGAACAATGTTCAGACAGAGTTTAGTAAGAAAATCAATGTCAAATCATTAAAAGTGATCCGTCCGTACCCAGTCAAAGGTCCCTGTAATGTTAAAAGTAAAAAGAGTTCCCTCCCCTTCATGTGATGAATTCAGACACACACACACACACACACACACACACACAGAGCTCTGAGCATACAGTATTTCTGAGTCCGACATAAAATATTTCTATTACTTGTTTTATTTTTATTGTCTTAATTTTATGTTGTTGATTCCCAAAAGCTTGTTTAGTAAAACAGCTGATAAATGGAGCTCTGCCCCCCCCCCCCCGAGTGGCAAGAAAAGTTCAGCGATATTGCACATGTCATTTATAATAAAACTTTTGTGAGAAGACAATCAGGTTGGAAAAAGCTCAGGTTTATAGGATTGGGTGAAAAATGTTCACTGTTTCATTCATCTTATATTTTTCTGCTTCGAATCATCTATGCATGTTAGGACGCCTATTTACCACAATAGAAAGGAAAGTTAAACGACAGAGTGCCAGGTTTTATGTGGTCACAGCGGCCTGTCAGTGTCGGGCTGAATGCAGTGATGCAACCGCAGCGGTGAAGCAAAGCGTCAGAGCCCGAGGTCTTTACCAAGCTGTGGCGCTTCAGTGGCTGTGTCCTTGAAATGTAGCTGAAATGTGTTTAAAGTTTTATAGTTTCTGACTCAAGATGCCACAAAGGCCACCTCATCTGGCCTGTGGGGAACGATGCTGCATCACACGCACGCTCACACGCACGCTCACACACACACACACACACACACTCTGTCGCAAATGCATATAAAGCAAAATGAAAAGCACAAAAGTTATTGAGTGAATATACTGTTGCACACACCAGAACAGAAAAAAAACACACACTCACACACACACACAGTGTGGGGTGGTTTTTGGCTGAATCATGGGTGGAGGCCTACAGCATGAAAACACAATGAAACCTCAGGGAACTAGAAACACCTTCAACCTGTTGTTCCTGCTTCATTACTAGTTACTGGAAGCACCGACACTTCCTGTGGACATCATCCTGCCTCCCAGTGAGAGACAGAGGACATCAGGGTCACAAAGACAGACCGAGAGAATGACTGATCATTTACCCGCCACTGCTACTTTTACAACAAGCGATAGATGCCTTTCTCCAAAGAAGCATGTACTTTATAATCAGGTGTAGCAGGAGGTAGAGGTCTGAGACGGACCTACAGAGAATATTTGTTGACGAGATCCAAAATAATAAAGATAAATGAAGATAATTAGACCCAAAATTACTTCATTTTATCCTATTAGACATTTGTGTTAAATCCTCTAATTTGGGTCTAAATGAGTGAGTTCTGACCAACCTGTGTTTTGAGAGGTCACAGTGACCTTGACCTTTGACCTCTGACCATCATAATCTAATCAGATCATCTGTGAGTCCAAGTGAATTTTTGTGCCAAATCTGAAGAAGTTCCCTCAAGTCACAAAATCTGTAAATATGAACTTTTTTCTTTTTCAATATTTGCAGCTAGGCTAGCAGCACAGTTGGACTTTAACAGCACCGGCTCGAAGCTGTTATCAGAAGGCTCAGACCTGCGCAGCAACCTGTGCCGCATATCTTAGGACCTGATGTTACAACTCTCTTCAAGAGCCCTTAAACCTAGTTGATGTCGCCTCCTGTGGGCTGGATCAGCGGCTGCCAGATGTTATACTCCTCACCCGCGATAAGGCCGCTGAAGGCCAGCGGCTCCTCAAAACGGCCGTATTGGCGGTGACACAGCGAGAGCGCCCGAGCGCCCTTCAGACCTGGCCCTGCTTTCAAAAGCAATGCGGAGAATGGCGCGAGGCCAGCCACGTCCACCTCCTCAGGCTCCGGCGGACACAGCTGCTCGTCATGAGCCGAGGTCGCCAGATCTGCTCAGCGGCAGAGCAGCTCTCCCTCTTTTCAGTGACAAGCACACACACACACACACACACACACACACACACACGCACATACTGTTCCAGTTACACAGATGACCCGTGTCCCTGGATTTGTATTATTCTGGTCACACACACACACACACAAAGGTGGCAATGATGAAAAGGGATGGACACCGAGTACAGGTTGAGTACAGCACTTACAGGAGGTATTACCTTTTGTTCTGTCTCTCAGTCTGAATCTGACAAAAAAATATGTAACACAGGAAGGAAGGAAGGAAGGAAGGAAGGACTGAGTGACAGAGAGAGAAAGGAATCATTAAAGTGGAGGATGAATCCCCATTATCCCCAGTGTCCATTAGTCTGTCCCACTGTGTGACATAAAGGATATGTGCCACCTGCGCACAGTGAAAATCATCTAAATAAGCTGAAGTTGCAGGTGGGAGGTGAGACTAATGACAGGTCTGACAAGAGAGGAAGAGAAAGACAAGGGAAAAAATGCCAGCCGGCAGAGGTGCTGCAAAGTAGGAGGACAGCACTCCAACGTGAGAGAGATGAAGTGACGCTACATCACTTTGTCACACAGGCAATTCACTGCGGTCCAAAGGTAATTCTCGTATTACACCAATATTACTTTTCAATTCGATCTAGTTGACATCCAGCAGCAACAGGTGACTGTTATTAAACCGTTTTTAGACCTCTTGCTACATTTTCAGGCTACGCTGTATGAAGCTGCAACGATGATCTTTTTCCCCATTAATTCATGAACTGTTTGGTCTAAAAAAAATGCCAAAGTCCAGTGTCCAAAAACATAAGATTACTGATTACTGTCTCTCAGAGGACAATCCTCTGACTGTC